CGACCATACCTTCACAAATTCGGTGTCACATTAGAAGATTTTATGAATATAATTTTTGACATGTACACACCAAACGTATTCTAAGCTATCCATTTTCTAGGTGGGAAACCAACTCATACCTAGATTTAGATTCTTGATTTCCAGTCACTGCATTTGCAAAATGTACAATAATCAGAAATCCCATACGATGTGCAGCATTTTGGAAAAGGCTTTCACTACCTTGTGCAACATCTGCCCTCAACCTCCCACAACATCTCTCAACGTTGCACATCTTCCCTCAGCCTCCCACATCGTCCCTCAACCTCCCACAACATCCTCCCTCAACCTCTCCTATTGATTAGTAGGTAAGCTTATTCAGGTATACACAAATACAGTTACATAGATTATCATACATAGCATATGTGCAGAGAACCTGGGATAACCTATAAAAGCAAAAGACTCGGCAGGAGATGCAACATTCCCCCGATGAAAAGCAGGGGCCCCACAAGTACACTGAGAGACAACATAATAAGTGTCCGGGGCCCAAGACTGTTCAGTTGCCTCCCAGTATACATAAGAGGGATTACCAATAGACCCCTGGCTGTCTTCAAGAAGGCACTGGACAGTCACCTAAAGTCAGTACCTGACCAACTGGGCTGTGGTTCGTATGTCAGCTTGCGTGCGGCCAGCAGTAACAGCCTGGTTGATCAGACCCTGATCCACCATGAGGCCTGGTCTCAGACCGGGCCGCGGGGGCGTTGACCCCCGAAACCCTCTCCAGGTAAACTCCAGGTAACCCATAAACGTCAAAGTGACTTATTTCCATTGAGATCCTTTAATCATGCGACGTTTGGTTACAAAAACAACAGAAAACGTATTTTTGCCCACAAATAAGTAAATTATAGTAATGCGATGACAGAGGGTTACCAAGAAACATTCAAGCCTACACAAGAGTATCACTCGTGGCAGGAGAATGGGTTGTAGAATGGGCTTTCTTCCCACGGTTGTCACACGAGAGGCAGCAGTAGCAGCAGCAGCAGCAGCAGCAGCAGCAGCAGTACAAGTGAGAGTCACAAGTGTGTGTCCTCTCCAGTTACCCCTACGTCGGCCCGCTTGTTTTTGCTCAGCCCACTACTCTTGTTGCTCTTATAATGTGAGAAATGGTCTTGTTGGGTTATTTCCAGTGATGAGTTGTGCGCGGATATTGTATGTATGCGAAGCGCTGAACCCGTGTGGGTCAATGTTTAAAGATAGGTGGAATCTCAGTCCACCGTCTGCTTACTTGGAGGGCATTCCTAGGATCAACGCCCCCGCGGCCCGGTGCATGACCAGGCCTCCTGGTGGATCAGGGCCTGATCAACGAGGCTGTTACTGCTGTCCGCATCTAGTAAAAATTACGAACCACTGCCCGGCTGACCCGGCACTGACTTTAGGTATCTGTCCAGCTCCCTCTTGAAGGCAGCCAGGGGCCTATTGGTAATTCCCCTAGTGGCTGGTGAGAGGCTGTTGAACAGTCTTAGGACCCGGACACTTATTGTGTTTTCTCTTAGTGTACCAGTGGCGCCCCTACTTTTCACTGGGGGTATATTGCATCGCCTGCCAAGTCTTTTGCTTTCGCAGGGAGTGATTTCTGTGTGCAGATTAGGGACCAGTCCCTCCAGGATCTTCCAGGTGTATATTATGATGTATCTCTCTCGCCTGCGCTCCAATGAGTACAAGTCAAGTGCTTCTAGGCGTTCCCAGTAGTTAAGGCGTTTGATGGAACTTATACGTGCAGTAAAGGATCTCTGTACATTCTCTAAATCTTCAATTTCACCTGCCTTGAAGGTGGATGTTAATGTACAGCAGTATTCCAGCCTAGAGAGAACAAGTGATTTAAAAAGAATCATCATTGGCTTGGCATCTCTTGTCTTGAATGTTCTCGTTATCCATCCTATCAGCTTCCTCGCAGATGTGATAGTGGCATTGTTGTGGTCCTTGAAGGTGAAATCTTCGGACATTACCACTCCCAGGTCCTTCACATAACTTTTCCGCTCTATTGTATGATTAGAGTTTGTAGTATACTCAGTTCTAGTTATTATTTCCTCCAGTTTTCCATAACGGAGTAGTTGGAATTTGTCTTCATTGTCTGTTACTTTAGTCTATTGTTTTATTAAGATTACCTGCCTGATGGATATGGGAGGCACAATAAAGTAGCCGCATCGACAGCAAAACCTAGAGCTAGAATTTACAGGAATTTAACCAGTGGGAGGAAGCCACACCGCCTGGCTTCACTGGGTTATCCTAGGATACTAACATCACTCATCGTCACCTGTTTGCATGTGTACCTGACCCCCATCTGTGTAAGATTGTAGCGTGCAGTTGGTTGTGAAAAACATTTTAACTTCAGTTAACTTAAGTTGTGACTGTAGGGACCTCGGGGAAGTTTTAGCAGAGTATTTACAACATTAATAATTTAATTGTAACTGATAATGGTTATTTTAACGTGTAATGTATTGTTGTGTGTATTATTTGTGCTAGTAGATTTTTTTTTTACTTAGCTTTACCATATGTTTTTATGTATGGTTTATGCTTATTCTTATTGCCAAGCTTGCAGAGTAATTTACCAGATTAAAGCTCTGTCAGATCTCAGTTTCCTTTCGTTTTTACATCCTTCCTTCCATCCATGGTTAAGAATTCTTCATCTAAAGAATTCTATGAAATAAGTGAAAGGATGAACATTACTTGTATACTTCTCGTTTTGTTCTTTAATTGACGTATCAGTCAAAGTCATTCAGATCACAGAAGGTTACATTCTGATAAACACGTCCAGAGATTGATGTACTCAGTGAACACTAATGGAAGACACATTATGTCTCCTCCAGTGATTAATTCTGCAGCCCATCCTCACAATACAACATTCTTGAAAGAAATGGTCAAAATAATAACCATTAATTTTTAAAGGGGTGGAGGGGTAAGCCAGCGGAAGGCCTCGGTCAGATGACCAAAAGCTCCAGGAGCGGGTCATCATCTAAGACCCGCGTCAGGAAACACTTGTCCTGTTTCCTGACGAAGCTTACCCACCTAACATTCTTGGGATCTACAACGCTCTCAGGAACACAGCTTGTCTCGCGCTGCCAAACATAAGCCGCTTCTATTATGTTATTTCGTTATGGTCGGGGTAGCTATCGTAAATCAGGTTAATCCTTGTATAGTTATCCATCTCCTATAATCTAACTATACAAGATAAATTTTTTATTGATAGAGGTAATCGCATAGACATCTTGAAATTGAAAGTCATGTTATCAATAACCAGGCACTGTTGGAAGCGAGAGGTTAACCCCCAGGCAGGTTCATTATTGGGTGATATTCGTTATGGCGGGAGTGATATTAATATAGGTTAAACTGTAAGTTGACATATCCGTATAATCTTCATCAAATATAAGGGTTTATATGCGAGAATCGAAATGGTGGTCAGGGCACATATTTAGGAGGGGTTTTCCCATCAAGTATGTCATTTTATAAGCGAAACTGTTAAATTAACGAGGTAATTGAGCGTTAAGTCATTCCTAGTTGGTATGAGCATGAGTGGTGGTAGTCACAATTTAGAGATGTATTTATCCAACAAGGTTCATTTTACTGCGAACTGTACTCACGTAATTGTACTGGCCTAGTTGCGTTGGAATGAGTCGATGAATAGCACCTGACCCCGTGCTATTTATCAACCAGTTTCACTGATTTCTGTCTGGGGAAGGGTAAAGTATGGTACAGTATCTAAAGTATGATACAGTCTCCCCGCATTTTTCTTTTCGTATTAATCTGTCACCTTTTTCGTGGAACGCAATGTATTAAGGTTCGTAAGGCAGGACTTCCCTCTTTTAAAACAGTGCTGGTTGTCTTTCGTATATTCTCCATTCTCCAAATACTCAGCCATTCTCTTCATTACCTCTTCTATTACCATGGACAGAATTCGTGTCAAAAATACGTCTATAATTCGGTGCTACTTGCGTGTTCCCTTGTTTGAACATTGGTATTACATTTTCTGTTTTGCATGATTTTGGTAGTTCATTATCCTGCTGTACTGTTGAAGATATTTGCTTAGAATGAAAACAGTGTTTCTGCTCCTTTCAGAACACTTGGAGATACATTAAAAGGTTCCATTTCGTTTGCTTCTGGAGATTCTAAAAACAAGTTGCAAAAGATGGAGAAATCTGGGATAGTTTATAAAAGAGAAATTAAATGTGAACATAAAAATTAGTATTGTGATGAGAGTAACCAAAAGGTTCAGGCAGTGATAAATTAAAATTTGGAGGAAGTAATGCATTTAGATATTTGGAAATGGACATGTTGGCCGGTTAGTCTGCGAAAGATGAGGTGAACTATAGAACAAACTAAAGGTAAAAATAGGTGGTATGTTGAGTTGTCTGTAGAAAGAAAGAAAGAAGTTTATCTATAAAAGCGAAAGGGGGAATGTATCTGAGAAAAGTCGTACCAAAACTTTGATGTGAGAGGCACTGGATCTAAACAGTGCAGTGAGGAGGGGGCTAGAGGCAGTGGATTCAGTTCCGACAGCCTGTCCCTATAAAGCACTTCCCTAATTTTTGGTAATAGTTTGGCTGCAAACCTTTGAATCATTTTCAGCTTCTGCACATGCTTGACCAAATGTGGGCTCCATGCTGGGGCCGCGAACTCAAGGATTGGTCTAACATAGATCGTATAAAGGATTGTTTAAGTTCTTGAATGCATTCCAGATGTTTCCTAATTTTACATATGCCTCTAATGTTATACGGTTTATTTGCAATTCTGATGATAAATTGGTATTATATTTACTCCAAGGTATTTTTTACTTTGTGTGTGTGGTGTGTGTGTGTGTGTGTGTGTGTGTGTGTGTAGAGAGAAGAGTACTTATTTACACATATCACAACATTTTACATTAGCAAAAATATAATTATCTTCTCATACATTTATTTCCTCATGCATGCCATGGTTGGCCTCCTGTTTGGCCACATTATCTATTAAATCAGTAAAACTTTGCTTTGCAGGAAAAGAGGAATGGATAAGAAAATATAATTGGACAGAGGGTACAAGTAAGTATTTCCACTGACGCAAGGTCGAAAGTTGCTCGACATGAAGGACTGTATCGTTGATTCTTTGATCAATGTTGTGTCTTCAGCCTCTTCTGTTTGCATTTAATAATTCTCTCCTACCAGTAGCTCTCTGCTATCCGTGACTCTTTACTACCAGTAGCTGTCTGCTGTCCGTGGCTCTGCTACACGTGGCTCTCTGCTATTCATGGCTTTCTATTACCAGTCCCGTGACTCTCTGCTACCTTCAGCCTCGATCCTGGCAACTCGTTCATTCTAAAATATCTGGGCAGACCTGTTCTATAGCTAACCTTGGATCAAGAGCACTTTACCAGAATCAAGAACCATTTTTGAAGGGACCTGTCCCGTATCCTGCTCTCAGGCTTACGTTATGTAGAAATGAAGGCATTTTTATTATTTTGGTGTATATGATGGTGTTTCCTACTAGCATGGTAACAATGGTGGTGATAGTGGTGATGACAAGCGGTGCTATTAGCAGTGGTGGTGATGATAAGTAATGCTACTATTTGAGATATTGAAATAGAGGCGTTAGGGACAATTAGATGTGCTAAAAATGATGGTAATGATGAAGGACTGGGTTACTAATGGTGATGGTGATGAGAGGTGATAAGGCAGGTGATGGTCTTGAAGGGAACTAGTGGCTAACAACGTCTCTAGTATTCATTTCAGGATGCCTTCAGTATGTCAGCCATACCAGCAGGCCACTTAATTGGTCCTGAAGAATTGTCTCTCCTTAATATTTTCTTAAATGTGTCTAAGCTCCTGGTATAGTCGATGAACTTTTCTTCGTATTCGTGGTATTTTCAGCAGATTGTGTGTTCTTTCTTCCCAGTAAGCTTGAGATGTGCTATATTTGCTTTCAGGGTAACATGCTTAATTAGTTATGTATATAAGTGTGATGGGAAGTATAATTTGGTAAGGCAAGGAAGAATCATCAGGCTGATGAATAATGTGCTTTCACACTTAACCTCCTCTAAGTCACGGTACATTGTCTATCACAGCTTTGTGTAGTTTGTTTCAGATATTATGATATACAAAAATTATCATCAGTTAATTTAAGTACATTTACTTTCAATGCAAATTTGTGTAGATTTGTACCGTAGACCTGGAGGTCACTCAAGCAATATTGTCATTGTTAGTGCCTTCACTCTAACCTGTTTTACAGGCTTTCTTTCTTACAACTTGACGGAGGATGAACGTAAGTATATTACATGTGTGTCAAAATGTGTAATATATGCCTGCTATATGTACCGTAGGCTTCCAGCAAAATTTATTTTCATCATTGTAGTTCAAAAGTAGCTGGTATTGGTTATGGCTCAATTCACAGAAGCCAAATAGCAAGATACATCTGTATTCAATTTTTTTTAGATTAGTTTCATACTATATGCTAGATAATTATGAGGGAGGATACTTGAGTGAAAGACGCCTACTTGGGTTCTCTCTTCTTGTGATGCACCTCAAGGAATGCCACGACACATCACAGTAATATGCAACGTTGAGGCACATCTCTGGTGGGGACCAAAATCACTTCCCGAAACGTAAGCTGCCCCCTTCACTAAAGGACTTCAATTACAATCATTTTATTTGCACTGCACAGATTTCTTAAGCACTTGCACACGAAATGATAATCCAGATTAGCACTTTTTTTTAAGTATATCACGCTTCCTTAGACCACTAAATGTGGCACACCACTTGAGCATAGGTGAGGCACTGAAGCACTTGCTTATATTATCCACTAGGATATATAGTCCCTCATCTGGCTTAGCTCAGAGTTTGTTCTTGGCTTATTTTATTACGTTCCAATTCTCAACTGAAATCCTCTTTTATTTCAATTTCCCATGTCACCTGCAGCTCCATAGCAGATTCCTTTGTGTTGAAATTGAAATCAGACCTAAAAATCGCACAGCCTATTACAGAAATACCATATCACGAAACTCGTCTCTGCTTCGATATTTATTACCTTTAAGCATGATAGTCATAGAATGTTACTCAGCAACCCATCCCAACCTTGTGGTCATGACTTACTTTCTAGACCAGAATGTATTAAGAGCTTTTCCTTAGACTAGGAACTAAAAAGCTTTATATCTCCATTGGTTGTAAAAATTCAAATGACAACTTGAGGAATGTGGACACGAATGCGTTCACTTAGGACGCCTTTCTTGAAAACATTTGGATCACTGGATCTTGATTGCCTAAAATACTTATATATGAAGTGATCAAAGTACAAGGACTGAAACGTTTTCAATAATGGCTTCCTAACTCCTTAGTGAATGTATTTGTGTTCATTTCATTCATTTATCCATAGAAAGAAAGTATGCAAAGCCAGGCTTTATTCTGACGACGTTTCGTTCAGTGTTGAGCTTTATAAAGTCATATTTATCAAGACTTGGTAAAACTCAACACTGAGAGAAACATCGTCAAAAAATACTTGCTCTGCAGTCTCTCTCTCTACCATACTTGTTAGTAACCTTAGTCAAAAAACTAGCGAGCATGTCAAAAATTATATATCCAAGTACTCCCCCCCCCCTCCTTCCAATACACTTCATGTTACAGAAATTTAATATTTAAGGTTCATCCAGACTTATGTGCCAGTTTAAACCCCAAAGTTCCATCGTTTTAAATCAAATTGATCCTCATAAAAATATGTTCTTGAGAAAGTGACATGAATTAAATTTTGTCTTTTCATTTAATTTAGTTACGCCTCCCGGGTATGTTGCAGTTGTAAAAAATGTGTTCAAAAAAGAAATCTAGGATTTATTTTTTTTCAAATTGGAGTATTATTCATATATAAACTATGTAACAATGTACAATATATCCAAAAAAAAAAAACTCTGAGTTGATGTAGAAATTTGATTTATTGAAACTTTATGTACTAGATGATTTATTAGTTCTAGATATCAGTGATTATTCAAGACATTCATTTTTTTTTTTATAAAGGAAAGTTTTTGTCCGTGAATAATTTAAATTAAATTAGTCTTTCTGGTAAACTAATTTATGTGTAATTATTATAAATTTGTTTACCGATGCTTTAGAAAATATCAAACAAACATTTTCTTGATTGTGTAAAGATATTACAGCATTATTAACACAGTGTAGTGGAAATCCATAGTTACAAGCACATCCGTCCATCCAAAGGACAAAAGCTGTCGAGGTGGAACTCCATGATAATGATACAGAGGAAGCTTTTATCGGGGCAACATTTAGCTCTGTTTAGATCTTTAATATATAATTTCTTATAATAGAAACATCTGCAACTCATCTTTGTTTTCGTACTTCTCGGCAATACGCTTTTTGCATCCATTTTATTTAGGCTTCTAAGCAGTGCTGGGCTTGTTTTGCTAAACAAAAGCTTGTCTCGAAACGAAAGGAACAATACAGAACTGGAAAGCATTGATAAAAATGTACAAGTAAACGAAGAATCTGACTGGGGGATTTGACTCAAATAGGTTAATGAACCTTATAAAGTATCACTCTGGATACTGAAAGTCTTCATTCGTTAAGATGTCCAATGTTTGACGAGGGTTCTGCCATGCTTCTGATAAATGTATTAAATATATATAGACAGGGTATCCTGGGCCTTAAGTTAAAGACCAGCATCCATTCCATGTTTCCCGTATATCATAGCTGTTAACAGTCAAACATATATAATAGTCAATAATGAGAAAAGGCTGATGGAGCTCTTAGGAAACACCAACTTCTTCACAGCCTCAGCGCTGTTGTAGTCATGAAACAATACTGCTTCTCATATCTTCCACCGACCTTTAAATGATCATGTTGAGAGTGAGTAACAAGTGCAGCATTTCAAGGGTCACTTCTGGGGCTAGACAGGTACCTACATGCTCTTGTCTTGAAAAGCTTTAAGCGCACAACTAGAGAACCGCAAGAATATTTAGAAAAACTACATACTTGTTGAGCTCCAAGAAGTTTAAAGTAAGAAACTGGTGATAAAATATGTCCCGGGAGTGAAATAATTCACAGAAGCCGTACAAGAAAACTTGAGAGTGGAAATGACAATGACTTTAAAGAGGAAATAGACGAAGGACTTTTGATCGAAGGAACTGGAGCTACACTCTCTTCCTTATTTTAATCAAAACTTATATCCTCCCATTCCCCAAGCACTGTATGACTCCAACGGGTTTAGTGTTTTTCGACAGAAGCAGTCATACAAGATAAATGCAGCAACATACATTAACATAGAATTACCCTTTTTTATTTCTTATATATTTATTATTCATTTCTTATTTATTTATTACGAGTATTTAGCACCAGTGTGAAGTCCCCCACTTAGAAAACACAAAACAAAATTTGGAAAATACTGAAGTATGTCACCAGACTGTTACCGGAAGTCCAAGGTATTAACACTGAATCAAGACTACAAGAACTTATGAAATACTCTGAGGTAGAGCCAGGACAAAGACATAAAGGAAAAGATCTTGTGTGAGGAGAGACAGAAGGTAACTGAACAACTGGACGCACCGAACAAGTGTTGCAATGCTTCCTCTTTCTTCCGTACATAGTTTTGCAATAGTAATTTAAGCGTTAGTCTATTTGAAGTTAAAAATAGGTAATTAGGATCACACAAATTGGTAACCTCCAATAAAGTCATTTTTAAACTTTCAGGTTTTAAATAATATCCATGATGTTTTAATGCCATAGATATTGTGAATGGAATTAAGATTTATTAAGTTTTTTTTTTTGCAGTAAATTAACTACTTCAGTCTAAAACATTTGAATATAAAGGAAATTCTTCAAAAAGCCTATTTTTTCTGTGATCGCCAGTAAACTCCTCTTTAACTGTTTTCAAATTAGACTCATGACTGTATGGTTACCCTGATCTATATGGGATTGTACAAGGTCTTCCTTTTGCGTGTTAACAGTGCCGCCCAAGGCTGAGTGGGAACTGGGGACAGAGCACACCAGAGCTCTGAACATCATGGGTCTGGTGAGCTTCGCCACTCTGCTCGGCTTGGCACTCTCAACTCTGGGAGCCAAGGGCAAACCTCTCCTGGATTTCTTCCACTCGCTCTCCGACGCCTCCATGGTCATCACCTCCTGGCTCATCTGGTGAGTAAACTATGTACTATATATATATATGCAATAAGATCACAGTAAACAGGTGATTTCAGAATATGCAAAACAACCACTCTGAAAGAATAGAGAAATTCCAAGCGCTCTCGTGACTACTCACATTATCAAGGAACTTGATAATGTGAGTAGTCACGAAAGCGCTTGGAATTTTTTCATTCTTTCAGAGTGGTTGTTTTGCATAATATATATATAAAAATTATAAAATTTTATATATTTAAAAATATTATTTTTATATATTATATATATATATAATATATATATATATGCAATAAGATCACAGTTAGACAGGTGATTTCAGAATATTTTAATAATAAGAATTTAATAATACACTGGACAAAAATAATTTTTAAATTTCTTGGGTAGAATAGTTTGTGGGTGAGTTGTGCAAAGGACCTATCCAGTTGGGTCGGCGCGCGTCAAGTGTTTAAACCGTGTGGGATCTGATAGTGAGGTGCTGGCAGACCCTTATATAGCTTCCTGGATGCTTTACTTCATAGTTCCTTGATAATGTGAGTAGTCACGAAAGCGCTTGGAATTTCTCTATCTTCAGAGTGGTTGTTTTGCATACATATATATATATATATATATATTATAATATATATATATATTATATATATTATATATATATATAATATATATATATATATATTATATGCCGGAGCAATGGCTAGTAACCCCTTCTCCTGTATACATTTACTAAAAAGAGAAGAAGAAAAAACTTTATAAAACTGGGTTGTTTAAAAAGTGCGTGGATGTAGTGCGGATGACAAGAAACAGATGATTGCTGATGTTATGAATGAAAAGAAGTTGGATGTCCTGGCTCTAAGCGAAACAAAGCTGGGGGGGGTAGGAGAGTTTCGGGGGGGGAAATAAATGGATTAAATCGGGAGTTCTGAGAGAGTTAGAGCAAAAAAAGGGGTAGCAGTAATGTTGAAGGATCAGTTATGGAAGGAGAAAAGAGAATATGAATGTGTAAATTCAAGAATTATGTGGATTAAAGAAAAAGGTTCGATGCGAAAGTGGGTCATAATGGGGCGTGTATGCACCTGGAGAAGAGAGGAATGCAGAGGAGAGAGAGATATTTTGGGGGAGATGTTAGTGAATGTATAGGAGCCTTTGAACAAGTGAGAGGGTAATTGTGGTAGGGGACCTAAATTGCTAAAGTAGGAGAAACTTTTAGAGAGGGTGTGGTAGGTAAGTTTGGGGTGCCAGGTGTAAATGATAATGGGAGCCCTTTGATTGAACTTTGTATAGAAAGGGGTTTAGTTATAGGTAATACATATTTTAAGAAAAAGAGGGTAAAAAAGTATTTCAAGATATGATGTAGGGCGAAATGACAGTAGTTTGTTGGATTAGGTATTGGTAGATAAAAGACTTTGAATAGACTTCAGGATGTACATGTTTATAGAGGGCCAAAAGATATATCAGATTTACTTTCTAGTTGTAGTACACTGAGAGTAAAAGGTAGATGGGATACAAGGAGAATAGAAGCATCAGGGAAGAGGAGGTGAAGATTTATAAACTAAAAGAGGAGGCAGTTATGGTAAGATATAAACAGCTATTGGAGGATAGATGGGCTAATGAGAGCATAGGCAATGGGGTCGAACAGGTATGGAGTAGGTTTAAAAATGTAGTGTTAGAGTGTTCAGCAGAAGTTTGTGGTTACAGGAAAGTGGGTGCGGGAGGAAAGAGGAGCGATTGGTGGAATGATGATGTAAAGAGAGTAGTAAGGGAGAAAAAGTTAGCATATGAGAAGTTTTTACAAAGTAGAAGTGATGCAAGGAGGGAAGAGTATATGGAGAAAAAGAGAGAGGTTAAGAGAGTGGTGAAGCAATGTAAAAAGAGAGCAAATGAGAGAGTGGGTGAGATGTTATCAACAAATTTTGTTGAAAATAAGAAAAAGTTTTGGAGTGAGATTAACAAGTTAAGGAAGCCTAGAGAACAAATGGATTTGTCAGTTAAAAATGGGAGAGGAGAGTTATTAAATGGAGAGTTAGAGGTATTGGGAAGATGGAGGGAATATTTTGAGGAATTGTTAAATGTTGATGAAAATAGGGAAGCTGTGATTTCGTGTATAGGGCAAGGAGGAATAACATCTTGTAGGAGTGAGGAAGAGCCAGTTGTGAGTGTGGGGGAAGTTCGTGAGGCAGTAGGTAAAATGAAAGGGGGTAAGGCAGCTGGGATTGATGGGATAAAGATAGAAATGTTAAAAGCAGGTGGGGATATAGTTTTGGAGTGGTAGGTGCAATTATTTAATAAATGCATGGAAGAGGGTAAGGTACCTAGGGATTGGCAGAGAGCATGCATAGTTCCTTTGTATAAAGGCAAAGGGGACAAAAGAGAGTGCAA